TCGAGGCACTCACTTGATAACTTCCGTCTATGATACTGGAAGTTCAGAGGTAAAATTCAAAAACCGAATAAACACCACACGGTCTTCGATCAAGATGATGTTTGAGATATTGTCAGGACTCCCTGAATTTTATATGGGAATTTATGTCTTTTCGCTTTTGTTAATACATTGCTTGTTTGCTTATTTGAATATTAATGCTAGTGCTATGTCAGCAGCGGTTTAAAAACCCTAGAGCATATAAACGCATCAGATTACGTCTCAGTAGCTACCTTTGCTCTCAAACCTCATGTTCCAGGAGCAGAGTTGTTAGTTTTAATAATGCAATATAAAATCCATCTTTGAATCTAAATGTGTAACGAAAGAGCAGCTGCAAGCTTCTAATCGACTTTTGAAGATGGTATAAGATAGAAGATGTAAGCGCAAAAGGAATCCTTTTTTTCTGTTAATAGAAAAAGCCTTACTCCAAGAGGACCAATCGAAACTTATATGTCGAAAATATTTGATCGAACGCGAATATCTTATGTGGCACTTTTTCAATAGTTGTTGCTTTTAAATCGCAAGCGCCTGTTAACGCTGTCTTTGCAAGTGTCACAACGAATTAATTTATATCTTGTTGTGATTAACCTGGGTAACGTTAAAAACCAGAATCACATGTATTCTATGGACCAACAGGAAGCTATTAATTTGTTTGAAATTTTCAAATTAAATATCGAAACATTACCCTTGGAGAACGGCAGCCTGGAGTAGAAAAGCTCAGAACGGAGTCCATTTTTAAGGTGGCAGTCGCTTTCGAGAAAGCTGTTCTTAGCTATGGCGGGTACCATTTACGTGGAACACGGCCGTTGAAAAAGGTTCAAGTACACTAGCACCAAAATGTGTGAGTATATACACGGGTTTCTTTTCACATTTGGGAAAATGATCATCTTTTCAGTAACTGATTGAGCGAGTGCGAGAGTAGAAAATCGGGTAACTTACTAGTCGACTGACTGACTGGCTGGCTGACAGAGTCACTGATCGTCTCTCTGATTTGCTCGGAGATTAAATGTGTAACTGATTTATCGACAGAGAAATGACTGAATGAATTTCGTTTGTTAATTGACAATCACTATCATATTAATATTAAACTTTTCCTTTCTATCGAAGTCCTTCTTATTCAAAAAGGTTACAAAGATAATGCAAGTGACTTCCACCTAGAGAATCATGAATGGCAAGCCTCTATCAATATCTCCTCTGGAAATTTTGTAGACAACGGTTTGTAAACATCACCGTCATATTTTAACATTCGATACCCCTTAGCCCTTTGACTCGTCAATGTCCTACTGAATTACCGTAGAAAATATTTTAAGTAACCCGTCGCACTTATATACCAT